GGGGGACACACACATAGCTTTGCCCATTCTGCCAAACCCTCTTTGTCTTGACTGGTTCCTCACAGGGGGAAACCAGTATAAGAGTAAGGCAGCAAAGGGGTTTATAGTGGTGGACGTGGTTGGGCTCAATGACCTTAAAGGTCTTTTCCAACCTAAACGGCTCTATGATTTCCTGGTTCAGCTGCTAATAACGACTTCACACGGGGGAAGGCATGGTGGCACGCAACTCAGAATATATTTATTCTCTGTTCTTTCAATATGGATGATCCACAGCAAGGGCAAAGCAGCTCTCTGAAAGCAGCGGTCTCATAGCAACTGACAACCCAGCTACTGGCTGCTTATTGCTATTTCAAAAGCAGAATAAACAGTTTGGCCATCATCTGAGTCGCACTGTTCTATTTTATAGAAATTAATGGGAAATCCTACCATTAGAGGAACTGTAGCTTCCCTTGGATTAACTCCTCGTTCTTGTATCTGCCCAGGGTGCCTCTGCAAACTGGTGGAACCATCGTCACTTCCAACACCACGCCAAGCCCAACATATTCCAGAAGGACCCAGATGTGAACATGCTGCATATTTTTGTCCTTGGAGATACCCAGCCTGTTGAGGTAAGGCAAAGTGGGTAAAACATGGAAAACCATCATCCTAAAGCCCTTCAGAGAATGCCAATGCAAAACCAGGAGCTGGCTGGTATTGGTTGAAGGGATATTGCTTGCATAAGCAATACTTTCTTATATCAACTATGTACTGACCTGCTGCACATGAAATAACAGGCTATGCCTTAGCATTTTAATTCAATCTGTCCTCCTAGAGCCAAAATATTTACTGTCTACTGTGTCAAAACCTACTCAAAGGACTTAAACCATGTGCCATCCTTGGTCTTTTTTTACAAATTTCCAGTTTTAAAATCAGAAAGCAAGAAAAGAAACATCTTCAGCACAACACGGGGGAATGCAACATGAAAAAAGCTCGTGGTTTCTCAGCCAGCTTTTCCACTATTGAGAAAGCAGCTCCAGGCATATATAGGGGATGTACGTACTGGTAGATGGAGATGTACAGAGAATGGCTTGCACACATTTTCAAGAGGCAGAAGGGCTCTTTGATACAACTAAAAAGAAATCCTTCTCCTGGGGTATAAAAAAGCCAGTATCAAGAAGATGTAAATCAGTGTGTGGGTACCAGCCATTGGAAAAACCTTGTGCCTGATAAATGTGTTTAAAAGCACATTAAAAACACATTTAAAAGTTCCAAGATTTCAAGGGAAAAGTAAGAATATAAACATTTAGGACAACAAGGACAACTGGTTCTCTGTCCTACAAAATATCTGAAATGTTAGGCCAGCATATAATTCTTTTCCAGATGATGCTAAGCACACAGCCTTTCAGAGCTCAGACCAGAGTAAATGATTTATTGGTGCTACAAGACTTACATTCATTGGGAAGTTACGATGCTGGAAGCAAAAATGCAAAGTCCACAGCAATCCAGATTGCCCGTGCATCAGCTCCTTGCGTGAACACTCCTGGAGCTCCAAAAAGACACGCCTGCACGGCTCTGAGTATTTAATTTCGGAGATGAGGTTAGGAGAGCAGGTGCTTTTGGCTCCCTCTTTTCACTGAAAAGAAATGGGCACCTGCAAGAATGCAAAGTCCAAAGGTGTGGTCCAAGGTCCAAACCTGGGTTTGGAGCAACTTCTCTCCACCCGCTCTCTCGAGGTGGACCATGGTGGTACAGGAGTCAGCCCAGACCAGTGACAGTGCTCGATTTCTTATCGCTTACATGTCAAACTAGTGACATGATATTGTAGATTTAAGCACATCTGTGTGACTCGCTGTAGCAACAGCTAAGGCCCACGCTAGTTTTCCCACTGTTGGTAAAGCAAGATTTTTACAAGTCCTGGCTAATGGCAGGGACTTACCAAAGGTCAGACTTTGTGCTTATCACTTTTTTATTTCTAATGATGGAGGTGATAACAGCTCTTGCTGGAGTCAGAGGCAGAGAAGTGCAGTAAAATATTCCCAAGTAAATAGAAATTGTCTGAATATCGAACCAGAAAACTTTACAAAGTGTCTAGACCCGCTTTTTACCTGATAGAGGTTAGAGTCAGGGTGATTCGTTTTAAGACACGACAGTGTCAGATGTCACAACAGCAAAACCTATTCTTGACTAACAACCACTGGAGAGCGATAAGAAAGATAAGGAAAAAGGAAAAGCGAAGCAGTAAAACAAGATAGCAAGAAGTATAGCTACCACCACAGATCAGGTGACATCTCGCAGGTCCGCCTGTTTCGATTCGGCAGGAGAGATCTCCAAAGTGTAGTTGTTCACGGTGGCATTATATAGTGTCCCAAGAGCTGCTTTGCCTACCCTCCTCCTGTTTAGCACATGCTAAAGGTCCTCAGGAGCGATCTTCAGCCCCCCCAGCGTCGCCTCGGTCGGGTGGAGCACGCATGGATGTCTGGAGGGCCCATAGCATGACCTAACAACTTGCACACCCTTGGGCTTGCATCCTGTTGGGCTTTTGCGCTTGCAAGACAGCTGCCTTATGCAAGACAGCTGCCTTATCAGCGGTTACACCGTTAGGCTTGCAAACCGCAGCCTTGAAGTTTCTTCACAGAGAATTTCAGCAAGATTGAGACAAACAGTTTCTTCGGGGAATTTCAGCAAGGTTCAGGCGAACTGTTTCTTCAGCAAGGTTGAGACATTTACCACAGTCTCTTACACAAAGGAATTTACACCCAGCACAATTGCAAAGTCAAGCTGTTTAACCATACCAAAACACATTTTACCTGATGGTGGGAATTTAATCAAAACTCTCCAGCCAATAAATAAAGAAATACCACAGAAAAGCAGCTCTTACCTGTAAGAGTCATAAGCCAAGCCTGAGCTTTCTCCTCTGTGTCCTGCAGTATGGCAAGAAGAAGCTGAAGTACCTGCCTTACAACCACCAGCACGAGTACTTCTTCCTCAGTGAGTATTTTCTCCATACTCTGCCTTTTTCCCTGAATGCCAGCTGACCTCTCCAGCAGAACAGCTCCTTAAGTCATCCTTCCCTTCCCCAGGACCACCATCCCCTGTGCAGGTCCCAAAATCAGTTCAGCATATACTTATGTCTGAGCACGTTGAACGTTGCCAAGCACGGCCAGGAGGCTGGGAAATAACCTCTGTGCCTCCATGGAAAAAGTGCATGATGCCAGTGAAAGCTCTTGGACACATCAAAATGAACGGAGGTGTCAAGCAGAGCCTCCTTTCTGCACAGAAAGGCAACCCATCCTCATCACCATCACCTCACCCCATCACCAGAACCAGACTTTCCCTAGAACCAGCCCTAAATCACCGGCTCACTCCCACATCCCGGCGCCTTTTCCACCCCTCTGATGGCCAAACTGTTTTCCCTTTGCTTTGCAGTCTTCCCACCTCTGCTCATCCCCGTCTATTTCCAAATCCAAATCATCTCGACCATGATCAAGCGCAGGTTCTGGGCGGTGAGTGAAACGTTCCCTCCATCTTCATGGGGTCTGGCTGGCTCGTTAAGAAACGACGCTTGTGTATGGAGGGAGGCCAGTGGGCAGGGACCGCGCTTTGATGTGTTAATTAACATCCCCAGCAAGGACGCGTTGGATGAGATAGGCCCAGTGACGGCTCATGTCTTCTCTCTTCCCCTAGGACCTAGCCTGGGCCATCAGCTACTACATCCGCTACTTCATCACATACATCCCATTCTACGGCGTTCTGGGATCCCTGTTTCTCCTCACTTTTGTCAGGTAGGAGGATAAAGGGCATCCCTGCTGCTCTCCCCTCCCCTTCCAGTGCCAGACAAACCGAGTCTCAGCTCTGCTGTGCCCCTGTTTCGGTTCTCCGCAGCCATCGACCTCGCCATGTGCGATCTTGGCTATTCCCTTCCCTCTTCCCATCTCCCAGTCCTATGTCCCCGCAGCAGAGCTGGTTCTGGTGCTCAGCATCTTCTCCTGCCCTTGGGATGGTCCAGCCAGGGTTCTCTTTTCTTTCCTCCTTCCCTGTTCTCACACGCTGTCCTACCCCAACACATTTATGCATTTTTTTTCTCCGCTTCGGTCAAGGCTGGAGCCTTCTGGAGTGCCTCAGGCCACCCTCTTCCCATCTTACTGAGCCCTCCCAGCTCTGTATGTGCTTTGCTCACCACTTCTCCCAGTATGGAAGACTGGGTGGCCCGCACACTGGCTAATACCAAAGGATGGCATTTAATCCCACAGTCACCATTAGTTTTAGGAAAACACTCCATCACAGTGGAAAACATTTAAAAATTTTAAAAAAAAATCTTTTCTGGAGCAAAAAAGAAATGGCAACAGGTGTACAAAAGCCTTGACAAACTAGAACTTCTGCCTCCCCAAAATTTAACATCACCATTCACGACTTCAGTTTTCGTAGTTTCAAAACACTTTCGGACCGAAAGAAAAGAGGAAATTCAGAAGACTTACATTGGTGTAAGTGCCTGGCCAACCTTTCTGGTCTGGAATCGAGCTGAAAAATTTATGATGTCCAACCCATTACTTCCAAAACTTCCATATTTTGGTCAAGAAGAAAGGCAAAATTGCAAATTCAGATTACCTGCTCCTTTTCCAGAAAACAAATCTAAAGGGAAATCCATTACACAAGTGATTCTCTCTGGTTTCCACAGAAAGAGGGGTATTTGCTGCGACACCTCAAGAGAAACACCTTCCTCAAGGGTTGCATCTCCAGCTGCTGCCCATAACCCCCACTCTCCTTACCTCATATCCTGATCCGCAGTATAAACTGTTGTGCCTTTTTGCCTGTTTTCGAAGGTTTCTGGAGAGTCACTGGTTTGTGTGGGTCACCCAGATGAATCACATTCCAATGGAAATTGATCGTGAGAAGCACAGAGACTGGCTTAGCTCTCAGGTAACTGGAAGGGGAAAGAACACAAGAATACCCCTCATCCACCCCAAAACAGATTAGAAATTTACTCTAAGAATGGATGGGTTACTACATCGCCAGGCACTAGTATATTTTCTCCACCCATGACCCATAAAGATGTTTTCCCCAGAGCCAGCAACGCTGAGGACGAAGTCCAGAATTCTGTAATTTGACAATCAAAAGTTTCCTTCAGATCTGAGGCAGTATCAGGTTTGAGAAGAGTGATTTGGCTTTCCTGCATGAGGGATTTTTGGCAGATACACATGAGCAAGCAGAAGAGCCCCAATGAAAATTCAGAGATGTGGGTTTATTGATGCATCTTGAGGGAGCGAGGAGAACGCACCTCCTGTGGTTTCTGTGTAGAAATCACAGCTTAGCCAGTTCAGACGGTAAGAGGATTTTAAGAAAGACTGCCTAATTTTACAGTCATAGAGTAGCTGAGAAATATTTCCAGAATATTCAGACCCTGCACTCAAAGCAAGCTTGGCAAAAAACCCAAGTGGGATGAGGAGCTCCAAGAGGAGCTTCGTTGTGGTTTTAGGGCGAGATATCACTTATCTTCACAGTTTCTTGCTTGCCCTCACAGCTGGCAGCCACCTGCAACATCGAGCAGTCCTTTTTCAACGACTGGTTCACAGGGCACCTGAATTTTCAAATCGAGCACCAGTGAGTATGGACCCAGAATCGTTTGGCCGTTCCCGGGTTGTCACAGCACTGGGCTTGAGGGGAGCAAGAGGCTGCTACAGGCACAGGCGTGGGATGGGGCAGGATCTCTGGTACCAAGAGAGTCCCAGACTCCTGGGGGTCACAGTCTGCTTCCCCCACAGGCATCTTTCTCTCTTGCTATCGAATGCTTCAGCTTTCCCTTGCGCAACTTTAATTTGGGGGTTAATTAGGAGCCAGCAGTACGTGTTTACCATTTGCGATGGCTGTCCACTCAAATCCTAAGCTAAATAGTTGAAATTAGTACCTGTTTCAGAAATTTCCTCTCCCCTTCGGCGTTGTAGAGCGCGTGACTGTGGTGTGGGACACTCTTGAGGAGAAGGCATCAATAATTAATCCCCGTGAGGAGGCAGAAATGCCCATCCCTTGGGGCCAATCTCTTGCGTTTCCTCAGGTTTGTTTTCTCTCTCTCTCTTCAAGCCTGTTTCCAACAATGCCACGGCACAATTTCTGGAAGGTGAAACCTCTGGTGAAGTCATTATGTGCCAAGTATGGAGTCCATTATGAGGAGAAGCCTCTTGGAAAAGCATTCATAGACATCATTGGGTAAGGTCATTCTGGCATCATCTGCAGCTTGCAATCCGTTCTTGCCTGAACATCCTATATTTTCTAGTACAGACGATTCAGGACACTACAGACCCTTCAGAAATAACCAGGTTGTAATTTGGGGTGGCTAGGTTAATAATCTTCTTACCTGTCCCCCAGAGCACCGGACACTGAGTATGGAGATGGGTACTCACCTGATGTAATAAGGGACCTTTTTTTTCAGTAATACCTTTTTAAACGCCATTCTGCCAGCTGGTGAGTCGTGCTTTCCAGTTGGCAGCATCTCTTCAGGCTGCGAAGTGAGACGAATCAAAGGAGAATGAGTCAGGTTACAGCCTGCGATGCATCCCCTGCGAGCCCTGCCAGCAGCAAAGGGCTCTTCCCTGCGGACAGAGGTGAAGCCTGCTCTGATAGTCTTATCAGGCAGCCTCTGGGTTAACATTTCCAGTTCAGTTACTCCAAGGGGAGTAATTCATGATGGGGAACGTGAGGAGGTATTCCACGTGCCAGGGATCTCCACTCACAAACCATCCTAAGCAAATGCAAATTAAAGGAGATTGGCTCCAACAGGCAGAAGGGCTGAAAACTCTTTCAAAACCTCCTTCGTTTCTCTTATCCAACTTGGATGGGAAAACACATGTAAGCCCGAGAGCTGGAGGGGGGTGATGCCCACTATCCCACCATACAGAGCCCATCTCCCCACACGAGTTCTCAGAAATCACTCACCCTCCCAAGATAAACCACCTAAAGCTGCATTTCCAGCCTCCAGGCTGCATCCTGTTTATCGGAGGGTTTGGGGGCTCGAACCGCTCACATAATACGTGTGGAGATGAGGCAAACGGGAAATTCTGCAGAACAATTCCCAAGGGGAATTGGGGAATCTCCTTCAGAGGTGCAATGTGGCCATTCCGCTCGGGACTACAGATAATGCAGTGGGCATCACATGAAATTCTTCCTCACTCTAGCTCTTTTTATATATATATATTAGGAAAAATTTCTTTACTGAAAGAGTGGTACTGGAGGCATTGGAACAGGCTTCCTAGGGAAGTGGTGGAGCCCTTCTCTCTGGAGGCATTCAAAAAACACGTAGACGTGGCACTTTGGTTTAGTGGTCACAGTGGTGTTGTGTTGACGGTTGGACTTGATGATCTTAGAGCTCTTTTCCAACCTCAATGATTCTGTGATTTTAGCCGCTACACTGGGGAAAGGCATTTGGTGTCCTAAGGGTTTGTATTAAATTCGGTAACAAGTGTTTCTGTAGAAAAAAACTCATAGGACGTAGGCAAGATGCGCACGCCAAACAAACTTCTCCTTGTTTTCTTTCCACAGGTCCCTAAAGAAATCTGGTGATCTGTGGCTGGATGCTTACCTCCATAAGTGAACACAAAAGCTTAATGGGGAGGTGTGAGTGACTGGGAGGGATTGGGGGGGTTGCGAGGGGAGGGGGGAAATCACACACGTGTCTTTTTACTCTCGGATTTCAGTCTATGTCCCCAATCGGAGGGGAGTTTCCCGACTTGTCAACTGGTGTGGGCTCAGGCGACCTGTTTAATCCAGACAGATTTCAAATGTGCTTCAGGGGACGCAAAGCGATGCTAGTATTGCACAAAGCGGAAGGTTGGGAGAGGACAGAGAGAAGGAGTCTTTCAAAAACGGGCATTAATAGCTGACCTTGACCTTCTCTTCGCTAGATTCATCCTAATTCTACTAAACCACCCAAGCCCCTGATTCACAGGCTCAAAAGAGCTGATAGGCTTCAGTGAGTATTTACAATGCAAAGACACCCCAGCCAGCTTATGCCTCTTTCCCATGTTTTTATAAAAGAGGAGCTCGGTGCAGAGTTTCATTTTGTTGTCAAGATTAAAAAAATATTATATGGTCCATGTTGTCGGTCGCATCGGGGAGCTTGGGTGAGCTGCGATGCCCATCAGCCCTGCCTGCAGGAATCACACCCACGGTCACGACGCCCCCTGCCGTACCGGGATGGCGCTTGGACTCCCTCTTTTTCTCCCTCCTTGCTTTCTCTAATCGTAGCATCACTGTAGTAAGAGCCGTGACACTCATCCTGCCCAACTAACACCCAACCACCTCTCAGCGCAGTCAACAGAGCTGTATTTTTACGACCAGCCCCTCTTTCCAGGGGTCTGAGGAAGATCGTGGGGCTTATACAGCGAAATATCTCCTTTAGGAGAGGGTCGTCTTCTCTTTAATGAGCCAGAGCTCTGGCACAGCATTATGGTTGTCAGTAAATTACTCAAAAAGAAGTCACATAAGCAAAACGTACTAATTGCCCGCGAGTGCTCCGGCGTAGCCACAAATGCTCTTTTCAGCCGAGGGGTTTGGCTGCAGAAACACACGGTTCTGCCCTTCTGCACATGCCTGGCAGAAGCCAAGCCTGTTTCTGCTTGCCAGAGCCCAGGAGCAGTGGCACTGTTTACCCAGCTCTCGGGAACAATCAGCGAGGAGAAACGAGTTCTCCTGGCAAAAAGAAGGAGCTGCCCAACCACTCGCCCTGGGCCCCAAGGGGAGGCAGCCCAGATCAGAATTGTCCAAGCTGTGCTGGTGCTACCAAACCTTCTGGAGAACCTTCTTACAAGTTCTTTAAAATGCTTAATTTTCTCCTCCACGCCTAATTACCCCGCCAAAATAAATAAATAAATCCATTAACGGCTTAGCAGGAGAGACGGTTGAACAGCTTCCAGGTGCTTTGCTAACTGGCAACCTGATCCCAAATGAATTGAGGGCTTTAGATTCAGTTGTAAGACGGCGGAAGAGACCTACCTTTGAGCTGATGACAAAAGGCCGTGGTTTCCAAAGCAGCGTCCAGTTCCGACAGCTGTCTCCTTGCTCACTGAAAACACCCAATACTCCATTTATTGGGCAATGCCTTCGCACGCTTCATTGCTTTGCTCGGCTCTGAAACTGGACCTTCTCTAGCAAAGCCTTGAACGCTAACAGGGTCCCACAAAATCAGCAAGGTGCTTCACGAGCTCCAGGATGGCGGCCAGCCACTTCAAAAAAATCTAAGTATTGCCCTCCTTCTTCCCTCCCCCTGCTTTGGAGAACAAGGTGAGATGAGATCTCTGCTTGCAGATGGGAAATTCAGAGGCAGGACTGCAATTTAAGCTGACTGGTAATACCTAAGGTTTGTCAAGGGCTTGTTCTGGTGTTCTGGCAATACCTGAAAGTCACTAGGAATGGTTAGGATGAAAAGCTCCTCTCTCTGCGGTGTGTGAAAGCCAAACGGACTTTGAGCAAATTTTATAGTTGATTTCTAATAGCATAAACTATAACATCCTTCTGGGTGCTGTAATTTCCCAGACAGGTAGTATCAGGCTAACACTTTTAAAGACTGCCTTAATAAGTGCATCTCTTTCTGACTCCTTGAATGTATCCCCCTGTTTCTGCTCCAGCAAGGATCACCACAAGCACACGGTAGCATTGGTTGTGCAATCTTTTAAACATTCAGCTCATTTTTTTTTTCCCCTGACATTCATATTTTTTTGCTCCTCCCGTTCTTATTTCCAGAGCAAATGTTTTCTCAAGGCAGATGCCTCTTCCTCCTTAGCCCTGTCCCCTCTTCCACTCTCTTACCTTTCTTCTGGGGAACCTGTTTGCTCTTTTAACACCTGAAAAAACTGCAGAAAACTCATAGCTCAGCCAAGGTAAACAGTCCTGCTTTAGCAGCTCGGCTTCCTTTTTGCTGCTGACCCATCTGCTGGAAGGACTGTTTTGCTGAAAAGAAATCCTCAAAATACTGCCAGCCCAACAGCCTGGCCTCGCAGGAGACAGCAGCTTCTATTGATGATGGTCAGAAGAACTTGAAACCTCCAAGGAGAGCAACAATCTGCAGAAGGGAAGACCAGCTTTTAGGCAAACGGGTGACATTTTTTCCCCAAGACTTCAGCACAAAGGGAGGAAACCGGGCACAGGAGAAATCTTTATACCAACTTCTCCCCAGCCACTCGCTTCTTTCAGGCTCTCAGAAAAAGCCCTTTTTGTGTTCAGTTGCTCAAATGCAGCAATAAAAACCGTGCATTGTTATAGACAGAACCGATTTCCAAGTGTCATGCATCGTCCTTGCTATTGCAAGACAAGAAAGTCTATTCTGCAAAGAACAGGTCACCAGCCCTTTGTAACTAGCTGTGCATTTTTCTTATTTGTTACAGTTCTATGTGCAAAAAAAGTTTTTCTCGTGGAAACGTAAGGTGCTGGCAACTTTTTCAAACAAAGCCTCTCTGGCTCATATAGTTTCTCTCCCTCTCTCCAAAAAAACCCCATCAAATCCCAGCCCTCGATCTTGGAATTCAAGCTCTTTCATACGTGCCTTGATGTACAAGTTCCCCATCTTTTAACTGGAGCAGACGGAACGGATCCCTCACAAAGAGCCTGGCAAGTCTGCAGCAATCTGTTGTAACCTTTAAGTAGCATCAAAGTGTAATCGGGTTCACAAGAGGCGTTCCAGAAGTTTCGGTGAAACTGCAAACTCAGGTGGATATAAAGTTCACGCGACCTTGCTCGGCTGTGCCTCCAACCTGGGCGAAATGCAGCAATCACTCACAGAGAAGCGTCCCTTAGCAGCTTACAAACAGTCATCAAAATGGTGCAAATACAGAGATTTAAGTGCAGTTTTGCCCACCTTTCTGAGGACCGTAACTAACCGGCTTCTCTGAAAATAATGAGGTGAAATCTTGTACGCTTCCTCTCTTGATAAAGGTCATTCTTTCGCGCTGTAATGAGACACAAACACACGTACAAAAAAATCATCTGCAAAACATGCTGGGAGCCTGCCAGGGTTTGTTTAACCCAGCTAAACCACATCACTGGCTACATGAGCGCTTGGCAAGGGAGAGAGGCCACGAGTTGGAACGACAGAGTTTGTTTCAGGGCAGATAATAAAACAATAGGCAGGAAAGGGCTGGCTTTGCTTCTCTGCAGTCACTTGTTAGCGGGGACTGGGGCAGAAGCTGGAGGAGTAAAGAGTTGGCAGAAAAAGGCATTAACAGGAGCAGGTGCAGGGAAGGCAAGTGAAGCCTCAGCAGGAGCGAGCTGGGCATGTGGTTTTTGGAGGAGAAATACAGAGCTGGGAGAAACATGGGAAGGGAACAGGCTGGGGAGGGATGCACAACGGGGAGAAAAAATATCAAGGGGGTGGAGAGACAAGGGAAAAAGTCCTGAATGCAGGTGCCTTGTATTTTCCTGTTCATCACTGGAGTCTGCCCGGGCAACAGCTTGTGCTGGTGACGGGAGGCAAGAAAAGGGCAGGGCACGGGCCCCGAGGCATGGCCGGGCATCTCCCGGGGAGCTGGGTCTGGCACCGAGCTCCAACAGCAGGGTCGGCGCGGGGGGAACACACACGATGCCCCGCAGAGCACGTGCTTCTCCCGCACTCGGGCTGAAAAGGAGGTTAAAGCTGCAGCCTAGACCTCCAGTGACAAAAATTAACTCTGCTGAAGGCCACGGGTGCACGCCAGCTTTTGTGAAGTCTAGCCCTGGGTTTGCAGGCAGAGGTGCAACGGGAATGAGATTGCATCGAGATTTTTTTTCCTCCAAGTGTGGATTTGAGGAGTCTAAGATGCCAACCGCTTACTGAAATAGGGCTTGGGAGGCTCAAAGCACTGGCAGAGCCTCCTCAGGACACACCTCCAGGCACCAGCACTCCTTGCTACAGGGGCTGATCACCCTGGCTGGATTTTAAGTCTTCATTAGGCAAAGATGTCTTTTTCTTTCTGTAACAAGCTGCCATGTCCCAGCCATGGCCTCTTCTAGTAGATGCTTTCCTAAGAAAGCCTTCATAACCAACCCTAACACGTCAAATGTTTTCTAGGAGTTGTGAAAAACATCAAAACCACATTCCTTACAGGAGAGCTCCTGATTATTTCGTTCTTAAAAAGAAAAAAAAAAAAAATTCAGAAACTCAAAAAGAACAATTTTTTTTTCTTGTGTATTCTACCGCTCAATAAAATCGTAACTATTTGTCAACCGTAAAAACGCTTTATGTGATTTTTCCAGTCACCTCCAGAATCACTGCAGCGCTCAAAGAATCTGTTTCCTCTCGGAACATATTCTGCAATAGGGCAGTAGTGTGGAGAAGCCACCTAAGGACATTTCTGGGGCATGAATGTCACCACCCAGGTCTGGCTCTGAGATCTAGGGCATATGCTCAAATTCAGAATTCTTAAAGGGTCAGGGTAGGATTTGACATAAAGGGTGGTTCAAGTCTGAATTTCAGCTTTAGTCTTGCAATTGCTGTGCTTATCAGCTCAAAATCAGATTGTGAACTATAAGAACACTGTGGAAGAAACTCTAGAAAAGGATTTGGGATCAAACTTGCTGATTGCAACTTCCTTTGCTTTTCTTAACCACGCGTTCTTTTATCCAGGAGCTGTCAGTTGGTGGTTGCGGAAAGACCCTTTTCCATTTCACAGGGTGAAAATAGCAAAATTATTTTTATAGCACTGACTTTTATAGCTAGATAGTTTTCTTTATCAGCCTGCACTCAGCCCAGGAACAATGGCACTGCTTACCCTCACTGTGGGAACAAGCACCAAACAAAAGAAGATCTTCTCGTAAAAT